TGATAGATCCAGAAAAAAATAATATACGTCACACTTACAAGTCACTCTGAAAGGGACTTAAAATCACGTCCAACATTTAGAGCACACCCTCCTGGAATTACTAGGTAGCTAGGAGCATTAATGAAATACACAAATATTTCGGCAGAAGAAAAATTATGAAGGATTAGAGGAAAAAATAGGTAGTCTGTACATACTACTATGCTAACTACTGCTGCATGACATCTTCAATTCTAGACTGGAATTCATTCTCCAAAAGAAAAGCTGCCAAAACTTGCAAAGGGTTCAAGAAGTCTGACATACATGCATTATCAAGACAGGCTTTAAAAGTGTGATCTTAATTTACCAAAAACAAACAAAAAAGTGATTGAGAGATGACTTAGAAGTGACTTGCTGGTACGTAATTGGGAAAAAATTATTTTTGACAACAGAAGGAATTTTACTGCATCAGGGAAATATATAAGAAGGTATAATTGCTGGGGACTGGAATCAGGCAAACTGATGAGAAATAAGACACATCTTCTCTGACTGTGAACAATGAACCCTTTGGAATAATCTGTCTATAGATCTAATGGATTAATACTCGCATGATATCCTTTAAATGAAGAGTTGATGCTCTCCTATAAGATACTCACTCACTCTTAGAGGGTTTGAAATAGTGATTACCAGGCAGATTGCATCGTCTGTATTATTCAACACTGCAGACTAGATGGCTATAGCAATCCCTCTGGACTCAAAATTACTGAAATGCTAGTAAGTACACTCAGACATATTTGGAAAATGGGGATGCAGAAGAGAGAGGAGATACTGGTGCTTGTGAGCAGGCCAACAGCTTAATGAGCCACTGAGAACCAGCATAAGCACATTTTGGTCCCAAATTTCCAGAGAGGTTAGGGCTGGGAGAGAAATGGAGATTTGTTTAGAGACTGTTTGCTCTAGCTAAATTGTTTCTGGGATCTAGTTAGAAGCATTTAGAAAACCCTTTCATTATCTAAGAATAGAAAGTAGTCTACACAACTACAACAAGCAACGTTTTTTCAGGTTCATGTAAGACAGTTCTGGGTACTCTCATCTTCATCTGGCCTCTTGCTTAAGGAATTAGTCATACCTGGTCTCTCAACTACAGCCCCATTTTAACCACACCATGATTTATCACACAGAGCACAGTGAAAAAGTTCTGACTGTTGGTAAGGAGCTTAGGTTTGTGGACAATAGCAGATTTTACATATTTAGCCGTTGTTGCTAAATATTAATAATATAATAGAGAAATATAACATATATTATCATATATATTATATATAAAATACAGATCTATATATGTTCATGTGTATATATATAAAAATAACAGAAATATCACACATTAAGAACAAAATGCTTTGTGCAATTTCCAGTCCTCTGGAGAATGAAAAGTCTATTTGCTTTTGTTAACTCCCTACATAGCTTTCACCCACACTTCAGTCTCTGCTTGTTCACTTGCCATGTACCATAATTTCCTGTCATTTTAACCACTCAGTTGTATTTTCATCTTCAGGGCTCCCTCTGAATAGCCGAAAAGCATCAGCAAAACTGTGAACAGCTGATCACCTCCTCTTATGCCAATGAATGTCTCCAGGTGTTTTTTTGAAGGTTTTACCTTTCTTATAAGGTATTTCTGGTTGTCCTTCACAGAATCATAGAATCATAGAATAGTTTAGCTTGGAAAAGACCTTTAAGATTATCAAGTCCAACCGTTAACCTAACACTGCCATCCCACCACTAAGCCATGTCCCTAAGCACCTCGTCTACCCGTCTTTTAAATACCTCCAGGGATCGGGACTCAACCACTTCCAGTGCCTGACAATCCTTTCTGTGAAGAAATTTTTCCTAATGTCTAACCTAAACTTCAGACCAGTTCCCCTTGTCCTATCATATTCCAGTGTCCAAGCATGAACCATTGAAACGATGGTGTCTAAATGACTTAAAATACTTTAAAATCCTACTTGGATACCTCATCATATTTAAGCTTTCAAATACCTTTGGACAATCTGGCCCAGAGTATTTGTATCTTAATTTTTGTACGAATCTCACAGATAAATGAGAAAACTAATAAGGAAACTTTCTCCTGATAGTGCTTCTGTAAAACCTTACTTGAAATTTCACAGTTTATATATTATCATTATACATTTCCAGCAAGATCAAGAGGCTGAAACTCTTATAGTGGTTTCCAGTACCAGCTCCCACAAAGGAGAGCCTCATCTGTTTAAAATCAGTCAGAAGGCTGCTTTTGAATGAACACGAGTTTTTTAAGAACAAAGTTAAGAAATAATTTATGGAGCTGTCAGAAAATCTTACAGTATAATTAAGATATAGCAAATTAAATCACTGAAATCTCTCTCACAAAGTTTGGCCAAACAGTGAAGCAATGCAGATAATTGCTATTTACAGTCCCATAACCAAGGACAGCCATTTACTGTGAAGAGCTAAAACTCCTCCATAAAACAAAGAGTCTAGAAAAGAAGCAATTTCCATAAATGATTACATTTTGATATAAGACACAAAGCCAAATTTTGCAAGATCTGTCTAAGTGAAAAGAGCTGTGCAGAAATTACTGTATGAAGAAACAGTTTCCTTCATACAAAAATCACCATTTTAACCCACTATCTGAGCCAGGTTGACTAATTTTTACTGCTGGAGGACAGATGTAAAATAAGGGTAAACTAATACTACTAGGTTCAAATATCTGAATGTTAAGTGACTATGGCTAGAAATACTATTTTTTTCATTAATTTGTCAGAATACTCTGAATAAAGAAGCATTTCAGTCCCACCCACCAAGGTTCCTCCAACGAGCTTGAAGAAATTAGCCTTTATGCTTCATATATAAAGCATTACATCAAACCGCAATGTCTGTTCTCCAAAGAGTAAAATTCTTAAAGGTACATGTAAACGTGCTGTTTCTTCAGTGCAATGAACCCTTAAGATCGTAATCAAACAGATAATGTTTGATTAATTCTCAATTCATAAAATAACTTCCAAAACAAATTCTTCCCGCTACTCTCTCCTAAGCTAGAACTTTAAATATAAGTGATAGAAAGAAGTTTTATAAAATAGTATATTATGTAAAAAAGTAGATTTTTGCTTTGGAAGAGCCTGGAATTCTTCTTCTGGTACTGCAATGTGGAAAACTGAACAACGCCTCAGATTGACCAATTTCTTCAGACAAAACAATCTTCATAGATAGGCAGGAATTTCCCTGTAGAGGGAATGAAAGTGACACCAAAGGAGGAGCACAACTGGAAAGGATAAAAGTAAGGTGGATTCTTAACTCTAATTGAAAGACAGAACTCAGAGACTTCAGTCACCTCCAAACCTTGGAAAACCCTTGCACCAAAATATCTAAACTCTTGAAATTTTAGCACAAGGCTTGCAAAAAGCTGCCTGCTTCTTCATCTGCCTTAGCAAAGGCAGAGTCTAATATTTTGACTCCTGTAGGCACCTTTCTCTACTGCAAGCAGTCCCACTAGTTGAGGACACATCAATATGAACAAGATATTAGCAAAAAACTCAGTTCTGTGATTATAATACAACTGTAATGAAGATCAAATGGAGCAAAATTACAATGCTTTCTTCAAAAGAAGTAAAACAACTACCTACATGAGTTGCAAAATTAAAATTATTGCTCCATAATGTACAGATATTTGTTAAATAAATTTAGCAGGACTTCCATTGCAAGGATTTTCTTTTCCTTTGCATACATACATTTGTTTGTCATATTTAAATGCAATATCTGCCAGCTGGATAAGAAGGGCTTACCTCCTCTTGCTCTTCGCTACGCTTGGAGAGACCTGCGTGAATGCATCTTTCACTCCAGTGCCATGATTTTCAAGATCTACCTTTTAAAAGGTTGTAAAGTCATCTAGGGTGTGCAAATAAAGTGCTAAGAAGGAACAGCATCTAAGTTGTTAATATGCTGTCAGATTATGAAACATCATCAACAGGTGGGACATCTCAACACGGGTGCCACACCAGAGCTAATTCACTTGAGTCTTGTTTTCTGAAGTGCTCAACACCTGCAGTTTCCTCTGATTTCAGTTGGTGTAGAGGGTACTCAGCGCTTCCAAAAAGGAAGCATTATGCGTGAGCAGACATGCTCTGAAGAAGCAGATGCTCCACAAAGCCAAAAATACAACCAATTACACAAGCCCTGTGAGCTTCCTTCAGAGCAGATTTTGAAGTGTGCAGCTTTATAGAGAGATGTTTAAACCTCCAGCAACTACAGAACAGGAATAGAGATTTAAAAAAAAATAAAATAAAATAAAATGCCACCCTCACTACTGTCAATCTTGCCATATTTTAGTCATCCAAACAAAACGCGTAGTGCTCACTCTCTCCATGCTATCTGGCAGGCAAAGAAACAAGCTACAGCAGTTTCAATAGGACGAATCAATTTACATTTGGACAAGATAATTTCACACAAGAGGTGGATTTCTGAAACTGTGTCTGAGGAAATAGTCCTGTCATCTTACTGAAAAAAAGAAATCAGAGGAGGGAACTGCATTGCTACCAGTAGAGAAAACAGAATAGCATGATGCTAAAAGCACATTGCTTTAGTGGTTTCACAGAGAAAAAAAAAAAAAAAAGTAAGATTTGCCTAAAATGCACAGAAATATAGACAAAATATAAACACAACTTCCTGAGGTAAAACCAATAGCAACTAGTATTGATTAGCCCACTCATTAGTTTTTATTAATGTACTCTATTTTGTGCGCTCTTTGAGTTAAGAGCTGGGTCTCTGTGCACACGTGGCCATATTGCAGGGACATAAGAGCTGCAGCTTAGCCCTCTGCAACTGGCAACCAAATACAGGTGGATTTCAACTTACCTAGAACACAAACATTTTACATGCATTAGGGATATATTAGGGATGTAGGTGTTACAGTGTTCTTGGTATTTGAGGTGATCCTTTTTTTGAAGGACAAACACCATTATAAGGTGAGAACTATCAAAATCAAAACTAGCTCTTACATGATAAATTCTGTCAGGTTGCACCACTTTTTAGAGTCCACTTTCTTCATCATCTCTTCAAAGGATTTTCCACAGGCAGGCAACTTTTCTAACATGAGAGATTCATTGCAGAGATTAGTCTGTTGACGTGCACCTACGTAAAATCAGAAAGCACCTTAAAACTCAAACATTGAAATAGAAGCACGAATACATCATCCACAGACTCCCTCACATAATTGCTTGCCACTTACATTGTTTTAAACCTAACTTCCAGCTTTCTGAACTATTTTAGAAAACAGATAAAATACACCTTTATGTAAATTTATTAAAAATGTAACTTAGTATACAATACTATAGGTTACCATATATAGTATCATCTTTTAGACCTAGCATAGAAGAACCTACCCAGTCACTTTTCTAATCTTACTTAGCTTCTACTCATACTAACTTACTACTGCCCATCTGCATTTTACTTAAAGCTAACTGGAGTTACTGATCATACACTTCAGTGTAGAAAGCACTTCTCAAGCTTACACAGATGCATCCCATTCAACTAACTATATAACTGTAAATGTACTTCAACATCAGAAACATTTGTAGATCTTATCAGCTAAAGGGTTTGCCACAACTAAGCTTTTTTCTTCAGTGTATCCGCTAGAGGATCTACCATTATCAGATGTTGTTACTGCATACAGCTAGTTGCAAAGAAAGAGTTAACCTTGACATGAGCAAGCCTGTATCTTTTGCAACTTGTAATGGCAACTCTGCAATATTTAAAGTCAAAGTTGAAGGTTTTTCTCATCTAGTCCATGCCTGCATTGGAATACAAAGATACTGTTTTGATATTTCTTACAAAAGTAAAATTCTGAAAAAATTCTAGTCAGACTACCTAATTAGACTACACTAATCAAAGCATTTGATTTGATAAGGCTGAAACATCTTATTTTGATTAAGTAGTTAAATATGTCTGTCTTTACCTTTATAATTGCCACTATTTTTATTGTTCTTCTATATGCAAAATGCAGACATTTTGTAGAACATTAAAAATTACCCGTAAGTATATGTATGTCAACATATTTAATACAAATGCCTAAATTAAATTACTCAGGAAAAAAACCCAGTGTGATTTCTCCTCTTTACAGCAGTACAAATCTGAGAAAAGGATTTACCTGAACAAAACTGCAACCCTAATAAACCCGTGTGTCAGGCAACCGTCCTGAGAACTCTGGAGGAACAGCTTTTTTTTTAAGAATAAAGCCAAGAAGAACACACCACTTCATCCTTTTTTAATCACAGAAAAAGGAAGTCTAAGTAGAATCAAGTCTTGCACCTTTTTCTTCTGAACCTACATTTTCACTGAAACCCTATTTACACCAGGGAGAGGAGGTATTTATTTTCCTTCTATTACTTTGAGAGCAGGATCCCATCATTGCTGAAAAGAGACAGTGGTTCTAATTTTGTGTGGTGACAGTCAAACATGCTGCCAGGTGAAGTAAGGTCAAAGGCAAGCAAGCCTTCGCTTGATGAGAAGTCAGGTGCAGCCCTCACTCTCAACAGGTCACTGTTCCTTACTGCTTACTCCAAAAAACCCTAAGGCAAGACGACTGGTTTCAGGCTTCACAACATGACCCAGCCGTCAATCAGAAACTTGAACATCTCCATTCAAAATGGGTCGTGTGATTGTAAAACAGGCTTGAGTGCACATTAAGTGTCTCACCCACGAAGGAGATGGCTCCTTCGGAGCCCAGGCAGGAGCGCCTTGCAATTTAACTCCAGCTGTCTCAGCCAACTCCTTAGCTAGAGAAGTCATTGACTCTGTGATGCCATGTGCCAAACAAGACACAGCCATCACATATGACCAAAGAAATACTTTGCTTTCACATACTTTCCAGGAGCAGCAGGCCCATAACTGGGCAGCCTACACCGCACCCTGAGACCCTAAGCCTACTATTTCATGCAGACCACAAATCTCTCCAGGTGTACGGCTGACGCAGTGGGACCTGACCCTACCTCCTTCATCATGTCTGATTGTCAGAGGTCTTAGACCTGACACTGTCTTCATCCATGTCAGAAAAAAATCAGAACTACAATTCATCACCAGTGATAGAATGAGTGGAAGTTACGAAAAAGGGGCAGCATAGTTTTGTCCTTGGGAAGTTAACGTGATAGCACGGACCCTGCCTATTTAAGCATTCCCACCAATTCACCTGGCAACTGCAGCAGTTGTAAGTTATACTTTCCACAGCTAGATCTGCAGATAAACACTAAAGCTGGGCAGAATTCAAAACCAGGTATGAAAATTGCATAGCTGGCAACTTAAATCCTGCATTGATGCTTTGATGAGAGTTAATCAAAGCTGCTTTCCCTGGCAGGGTACTGTAAACAGCCAGCTATCAGTTGATTTATAACCCTGTAAATCCAACAGAATACACGTTTCTCCTCCATTACGTTATGTGCACTGACAATTTACTCCAGCCCCTTCCCAGCAGGGTGTTAAAATGGATTTTCCATGGCCTTGGTGGTTTTGGTTGGCACTTTTTAGAACTTTAATATTTTGCAGGATTATAGAAAAAGCTTTTAGACAGGAACAATCTGACAACACAAGAGTTTCTGTCTAAATCCCTGGGCAAAGGGGTTCAAAATTATGAATTTACAAAACACTACAATACTCTCTGTTCCTACAGACAATGGACAAGACCAGTTATAAAAAATGCATGATGGTTGACTAACTGAAATGAGATAGGATGGAAGCGCTTCTCAAATGGCTGCCATTAACAAAAGAGAAACAGCAGTTTGAATTTTAGAAGTAAAGCTCACCTGCAAATCCAAGCGTCATTAGACCATTAACTAGGGGGGGAAAAAAAGAGAGATGAGTTAGATACCTCCATACTATTATGTAAAAGAATTAGTGCATATACAAGAAAACTTGAGCATAATTTAGGTTTCAACAGAATACTCAAAATGTTCATTCAAACATTAGTTTCAGTTTTATTAAAGAGTGTGTTTGAATGGAAAAATGAACATTTTATAGAACATTATGTTTTTAAATCACTTTTTATCTGTCCTTTAAATAGCTGAGTCATGCAGACTTATGTGTCTGTCCACACCTCTCTTTCCTGTAGCTTCCAACGTTAAGGATTAGGGACAGGGAAACTTTTACTTTAAGCTTCTTGAGGGTGAAAAAGTTGGAGAACACATTCACTTAAAGTGTAGGTGAACTGCAAGTTCTAAAGTGTAGAGAAAAAAATCCTTTTGCTATTAAAATTAAGCACAGAATCATAAATAAGTGCACACTATTAATTTAGAAATGTAACGCTGTGTTACATGGTCTCCACCTTTTGCACAGTGAACTCATACATTTTGAAAAATGTTACGTTCAAAATACATAGGCTTTTCACACAGATGTTACGCTAACACAGGCATGTCAGAAGAGCATCCAAATAGAAAAACAGACTATGCCAACAGAATGAGTCTTCTGATCAGCAATTTGCAGTACAGCCAGATGGATTAAATTAACAGAAGCCCACTGTGTTCGCACAGCTCCAGCCACGCTTAGAATTTTGCAAATATAGCTGAGGGATGTGGCTTCAATTATTTCTGATGTCCCACTGAAAAAAAAAAAAAAAAATGCTGACAAATCTTTATAGTGTTAACCTTGCATAAGAAATGAAATTACTAATTTCACACAGATGGGTGCCTTGGGCTCCTTGTTTTTACCTTACACATCACGCCAGTAAAATGAATCAAGATATACATAGCAGAATATCAGTCCCAATCATATTGATTTAGGCTATGCATTCTTAGTTACTAATGAGCCAGAATGTACTGAAACTGTGACGAGCAGGAATCCATGTACCATAAAATCTTGTTGCATTCGAAGTCACAGAGCTGAACTCCATTATACACTCTGATGGCTGTGTCTCTTTCATGAATAGAGCACTTCTCTTTCCAGGCTATTAGCTGTTATACTAGTAAAGATATTTGAGTCTCTGGGTAGGCTTTTTTTTTCAATCTTCACTTGAAAATGTGTTTTATCAACTGCAGAAAATTGAAGATCAAATTAAAAGCACACACTTTATGAGGAAGCCAAACCCACCCATTCTGAGGACAGTCTAGATGCACATAGGTGCCCTAGATGCTCCCCTTGAGCATCACAGACTTCACCACCAATTCTTATTCTATCAATTCCTATCACTGATCTCTAGATCCTTCATAGCTATTGCTGCAGTAATCCTCACGAGACCACGGTGGGGCAAATAAAACAGGATTTACAATGAGAGAGAACTAGAAAGAGAAAACAACACGTCCATGTTTTACAAACATCAGGTTGAGTGACTACCCCAGTGCCAGGCAAAGAAGCTGTAATAAACCAAGTACTGAATAAAGGCTCACAGGTTTATGCTCACAAATCCCCCTGCTCGCAGGAAAACATGCTTTTTGCATTTTCTGATCTGCTCATAACAGAGTAACACAGGTTGTTTTGCACCTAACTGCAACTAAGAGAGTCAAGATACCTTCAGAGAAGGATAAAACAACAATCCAGACCACCATGTGCTGTCATGCCCACCCCTCTTGGTTTTCTTTGCTCCCAGTTATTCAACTCATAACAAAGATTTAATCAGGAGACTACAGCTTGTTGGCCATGATAGTTTACACAAGTATGACCTTTCCAGCAGCACTTTTAAGAAGGGGCAAGTTCAGCTAATTTCTTGAAAGTTGATGCCATCACATCTCTTTAGAAGATACACAGAGGAAGCAAAGTGGGTCACAATCTTGGAAGATGTTGTCATGATCCCAAAACAAACAGTTGCCATATGCTCCTATGTGAACCAACATTTAAGGGAAGGAAAAGGAGATTCAGTTTAACTGTACCAGTTGTCTGCAGGTTAAATCATGTTAATAATGGACCACAGCAATGGCCTTTAACTTTTATTTTCTCTATACATTGTAGCAGCATGTATGATCGCCCCTAACATTTGTGGAATCAGAAGTGAAGGGACCAACCAGGTTGGAGCCAGAGCAAGAGGTGAAGGAAAGTACCACTGAATGAAAGATGGGGGAAAATAATAGGTTTGAAGAGCCTTTGGAAAGGAAAAAGAAAAGATAAGCAAAATAGGATAAAGTAATAGAATGAGGGATGAAATGTATTGGGTTTGCATGGCCAGGTTTTGGTAGGGGGGTGGTTACAGGGGTGGCTTCTGTGAGAAGCTGCCAGAAGCTTCCCCCATGTCTGACAGAGCCAATGGCAGACAGCTCTAAGTCAGACCCAGTGCTGGCCAAGGCCGAGCCCATCAGTGATGGTGGTAGTGCCTCTGGGATAACACATTTAAGAACGGGAAAAATACTGATGCAGAACAGCAGCCAGAAGAGAGGAGTGAGAATATGTGAGCAGAACAGCCCTACAGACACCAAGGCCAGTGAAGAAGGAGGGGGCGGAGGTGCTCCAGGCACAGGAGCAGAGGTTCCCCTGCAGCCTGTGGTGAAGACCATGGTGAGGTAGGCTGTCCCCCTGCAGCCCATGGAGGCCCACGGTGGAGCAGTTCTCCACCTGCAGCCTGGGAAGGAACCTATACCAGAGTGGGTGGATGCCCAAAAGAGGCTGTGACCCTGTGGGGAGCCCACACTGGAGCAGGCTACTGGCAGGACCTGTGGCCCCATGGGGAGAGGAGCCCAGGCTGGAGCAGGTTTGCTTGTGGGTCCTCAGGGACCCACACTGGAGCAGTCTGCTCCTGAAGGACTGCACCCCGTGGAAGGGACCCATGCTGGAGCAGGGGAAGAGTGTGAGGAGTCCTCCCCCTGAGGAGGAAGGAGCAGCAGAGACAAGGTGTGATGAACTGACCCCAACCCCCATTCCCCATCCCCCTGCGCTGCTGAGGGGGAGGAGGCAGAGAATTTTAAGGTTTTTAAGATTTGGTTTTATTTCACATTATCCTACTCTGATTAGATTGGTAATAAATTAAACTAATTTCCCTAAGTGAGTCTGTTTTGCCTCTGACAGTAATTGGTGAGTGATCTCCCTGTCCTTATCTCAACGCCTTTTGTACTATTTTCTCTCCCCTGACCCAATGAGGACAGGAATGATAGAGTGGCTTGGTGGGCACCTGGCATCCAGCAAAGGTCAACCTACCACATAAGAAAACTAAGAAGAAACCCGAGTTTTTATTAACAACCTACTTCAAAATCTTGTATATCAAATAGAAGAAGATCAGGTCCTAGAACTTCACTGCTGCCTCTTATTATCTACTCTCTTCTGTAAACAGGCATTCTTTTGGTATTAAAAAGGGAACTCAGAACGGGATTCGCAGCAATATGGAAATTCACTATTGGGATACATGAGAGGGTAACTGTCCTACAATTTTTCAAGTATATAAACCTTTTTTTTTTCTGTGAAACGGATAAATATTTCTCAATGTTTATTTTTCTGCTATACTGTTATTATTCACTGGTATTTTTCCCAGAGGCTTAAAAGTAGCACTGAAAGTCTTTGTATTGCAGCTACTTCATAAACCCGAAGCAGCACATGAATTGCTGTGTGTTCTTCCTACTGCATGTTCCTCCAAACACTTTGAAAGAATAATTTTGAAAACCTTGTATAAGTATGTAAGAGTGAAGTGTTAGAATATTATTTTCCCTTGCCTGAACATTTCTTCAGGATACTGCAATTGCTGACAGGATAGTGAGATTTTTAAGCAGCTCCAATACTTTCCCAGAATACAGATATCATATAAGTCTTGTTTTACCTGTCCGTTTTTTCACCAGCAATTACAGCGGTGTCATCCTATGTATATTCTTCAAAATTTGTGAGGTCTAATTCAAAACCATATTTTTATCAGTCATAATTTTCATAAGAAAAAAAGAACATGTAATGACCTCAAGTTAAACCTCATTGCAAGACCCTACTTCTATACCTTTTTTTAAAGACAATCCTGCCAATTACCATCATCTAATCTTTAACTATATGTCAGGACATCAGATCTATTTTGGAAGTTATGTACTAAACAAACACCCACCTCTCTGCAGAATCTGAAGTTTTATTGATAGCAGCACATAACTGTGGAAGAACTGCTCCAACATACAGTTCATGACAGCAATTAAAACCACAGTTTGAAATGGCAACTGCTGCTCTACAGTCACATACCTACAATTTGTTGGAAATACAGGAGAGAGATTAATACTCTATTAATATCATTTTGTCAAATTGATCAAATCTCATTACCCACATTTCTTTTATAAATCTGATTTTAAATACTGGACAAATCAATCTTACAGAAGTGTACCAATGTTTCTCCGGGTATTTAAATGTTATATAAAGTTACCTGTTGCGTAGGTGGTATTAAGGATCATGTTAAATTCACCAATCTTTGATGTAAACCCCAAGTTATACTGTTACAGGTTTACTGGCAGGGATGCACAGACACTTCAGGGGATCTAATGCATAAGAAACTCCCATGGAAATAACTCACCTAGGCTCTGACACAATGTCAAGAGGCATCCTGCTGCATCAGAAAAACACTGGTTACAGTTGGGGTAGGTTTTCTTTATTATCTGTCTTCCTGGGCATTCACGAGCTCAGGAGCCTCATTTCACTAGGTTCTATATGAATACAGAAGGAAAAGATGAGCTAACCCAGGAGTCATGTGGCTGCCTTCCAAAGACTTCTCTAAAAATCCTCTATGGGGGGGGCAAGTCAAATGCATGTGTCCAAGACATCTCAGAATCCAAAGACGCTGAGCAATCCTGAAACTTGATGGGAAATCCCATGAAGATTCCACAAAGGTCTGAGCCCTCCTGCTTTCAATAATAGGACTGTAAGACAAAACAGTTTCTTCAAATATATTTAATCAATC